TACTGCTGCTTCTGCTACTACTACTGCTCCTGCTGCTGATGCTACTACTACGACTACTACGACGACGACTACTACTGCTACTCCTGCTCCTGCTGCTACTCCTACCCCGACTCCTACTCCCACTCCTACTCCTGCTCCTCCTACCACTACTACTCCTCTTCCTACTGCTGCTACCCCTCCTCCTCCTCCTACTACTACTACTACTACTACTACTACCGCACGACTAGAGCAACAACCACAACCAGACATGAGCCTGCAACTCTCTTCAAGACCAATGCAATGTAACAGAGGGTTTAGGGTTTAGGGTTTAGGGTTTAGGGTAATGTAACACCACAAAATCCAATGAAAGCCCAATGAATTAGCGAAAGCTTCGCATGCTGCAGTACAGAAGTCCGTGTCCAGGACATTTTCAGCTGGGTAGTTGCCGTTATAGGAGCCTTGTAGAAGGTCTATATACCTGATAGAAGCCTTATATACCTGATAGTAGCCTTATAGAAGCCCTATATACCCTAACTCCCCACTTGTAGTTTCCTTTTTACCGAGGTTGCTCGACTTCTCCTTTGGCGTCTTCTCGCGATGCCACTTTTGGCCTTGCCAGGGGCCCAGCTGCGAGTAGTGGCTGCAGCCGTCGTCGTTTTAGTCTTTTAGCGTGTTTGTGTTCCTGTTTCTTTAGTTTTCGGGATCCAAAAGGCGGTTCAAGTGGACTGTCTCATGTTCTTGGAGGAGGTATATATGATTTGTAGCATTCAGAGATACCTGATCCTTGCTGATGAAGACACATGAAGTTACCACAGTACGGGTAACTCAAGCTAACTTTCATAGCAATATTCCAGTAATGGTTGTACCGGTGTCATCTCTCATCTCAGAGCCTTCTCCTGTAGTGCTGTAATTTTTGTCAAATTTAGGATTTCCCTATAAGTACTTCCAGGAGCAGGTTGACGGCCTCTAGGAAAAGTTTTTATAATCAAGGACTTGGGCTAGTTACGCGGTTGTGGTCAGACCAACTTTATTAGTCTGGACTCAAGTTCAGATTCAGCCTCCGGGAATCTCATAGTTTATAGTTTATGGTGGCTTCGGGAAGTAGGTTCGGGGCCTTCGCCCACATCAGGCATTCAAACTTGGTTCAACGGTCTAACTAACCCAAAAAGTTAGTCGGAAGAATAAGCCAAACCCTCAAGCCCCCAAACCCTACACTGTAGCACTTTCGGTCAAAATCATCGGGACAACTCCGCACGAAGCCGCACCCAGGGCTTGAATGTTATGATGTTCGCACATCGGTTAACGGCTTTGGGGCATTGTCGCCAAACCTTCTATGTTGTGTTAATGCGCGGCCTTGTGCTTGGATGTCGTCGTTGCAGTGGTGGTGGTGGTGGTGGTGTTGTGGTGGTGGTGGTGGTAGTGGTGGTGGTGGTGGCGGTGCTGGTGGTACTATTGGTACTGGTGGTACTGGTGCTACTGGTGGTACTGGTACCGGCACTGGTACTGGTACTGCTACTGGTGGTGGTAGTGGTAGCAGCAGTGGCAAGAGTATAGTAGTAGCTGTCGCGGCAGCAGTAGCAGCAGTAGTGGCAGCGGTAATATAGGGGCCTGAACCATATCCAATACTTTTTTCGTGGGCTCCTGTTTTTAATTATGTTATAATGGGCCCCAAAGCCCTATTCCAACTATTA